CTGCCATTAACAATACTTCTTGCTATTACCGAGTAAATCAGGCGGCCTCCAGGGCGGAGGAGGAGTACGAAGATTTATCTGCGATGTTCGATCCGCACAGCTACTCCAGATGAGCCAGGCTTCGAGAAACGGGGAACGTCAGAAGAAACGTGTGCTGACTCCGAGTAGTGTACGATGAGAAACTCGTCCGAGTTTCTCACGTGTGTTTATAACAGGGGTCCTCTCAAATCTGTTTCACAACTGTCATCAACATAATGTAGCAAACGCGTTATAAACGAGTGAGAAACGTGTTTGTCACATGTTAATAACACAAAACTATGTTATAAACTCTGGAACTTGATTACCAGCTTCAATTAAGAGCTGCAAAAGCGTCCGGAGCTACCTGCTTGGTCGGGGGCACTATAGAGGGAATCTGCTGAGCTGGTGAGTTGGCCTGAGGGCGATCAGAAAGCAGGTCGGCAAGGAACAGGGAATTCAGATCGATATCATCGTCGGGTGTGAGACCTTCCGTCTGCGCAGCAGTGAGATAGACCTCTTCAGACTTCGGTATCGTCCTCGTCAGCAATGTTTAATTCATCTCCCGAGCCGTCCTTTCAGACCGTACTCTCCCCCGTTGTCTTCTGTCTAGTGTGAATGATTTCATGTATATCAACCCAGCAGACAGTCGAATGCGGGGGTGACGCTTCTTCAACCTTCCGGACGTCAGTAGAGTCACGATACTTCTGGCAATTGCGGTGTACTACCTGATTCCCACTGGTGGACCTGGGACATGTTGAACAATGTCCCGACTTGCCAGTTGCCTGTCTCAAAGTGCTGAGCTCGTCAACCGTCGAATTCGTGGTGGTCGGGAAGATCTTGTTGGCAAGCATCTGCAAGACGAAGCTTGTAAAACAGCACAGTAGCTTGGCCATTTAATGAAGCCCGCCTCTGAATGGCACGCTGAAGGTCTACCAACGCACTGCACGGCGAGCTGATCAGATGGGGTGAGGAGACCACTGAATATCAATGCAGAAACTTGAAGGTCAATTGTGCATGCCTGAAACCATGTCGGATGTATTCTGCTATTATCGAGCGAGATTCAGTGTGCGGCGTCGGGCAATGGCTGTTCCTGGTAAGTGTACCGTCCGAGTCGGTCTGCACCGTGCCGGCTCTCCGGAATTTCTCACACTTTCTCACCGGGTAACATCCTGCTCTAAGTTTCTCACAGTTATGAATATGTTCTTCACCGTGCACTGCTGGCAGTGCTTATATGAATCGTTCTTTTTTTCTTTTTCTTTTCCGCATTTTTATAAAGGCCCGTACAGCTAAAAGGTACATGTAGGCCTACTATATAAATTGTTCACTGTGACTTTCTGGGCAAGATGGCGGGCGAGTGAGGAATCCGGAACGGGCTTTGAGCCGGGTATATAGAATCTAGCGGGCTCAGATAGTAAGGGTACGGTTCATCTATGATGCACAGCAGCAGATTCTTTCACTAATGATTCTAGCCCACAGCCGTAGGTCATGATCACTGCGCGGCGCGCGTAGAGTGTGTGGGTTGAGATATCGATATATTCCAAGC